AACTTCTTAAATATATGTTTCACATTATTCACTAGACTGTGTATTCCAGCTTGAATACATTTTTTTTATTTGCAATGGACTTTAATTAATCAGTTGATCTCATCGCTTATTTTGTCTTTAATGACTATTAATTTTATTAAATTATTATTGGCTTGTATATCGCAACATATCTGACGTATATATTTAATAGAGTATACAACCTTTATAATTAACCATCATTCAGCTACTGTAAATCAGAGCTCGTTAATTGTTCAAAGCTGGAGTTGTACTGAGCGTCTTGGTCAGTGTGACTATATCAACCTAGTAATTGAATTATTTTCGGTTTTTTGGAGATCGTTTTCTACTTGTCAATGATTTTAAAATTGGTTGCAACCCTGATAGCATAGTCAAATGTTTGTGCACAATGTGAGTAAACTAAATGTTGCTTATTGACAAGAAAACAAAAATTTTTTATTTTTCATAAATTTTACTTTTTTCATGTTAATTCCAAAAGCATTATTTCTTTTTTTACATTATTCAAGAAAGCTAGCTGTTAGAAATTAATCACACATATCCTCTCTGTAGTAGATCGGTGTTCATATTAACTACATATTGAATTAACTTCAGTGAATAAGCATGAGTAAAACATTTTATGTACAAGGAAAATTGATTCATAATCTATATGTTGATATCACATCGACCCATTACGACTAAATAGTAAAATGTGTGCCAGAACATTACTATTTATATGGATGGACGAAACAAATTCAACAACTAATAATGAGAGTTTGAAAAGCCTTCGATGATTGCTTTTTTGGTTACATTATTTTCAAATCCGCCCGAACATACGGGGGAAGTGTTCACTATTTTTAAGATTTTTAGGTGTGGTTCTTTTAAAAATGACAATCTAACAGTTAATTTTATTGAAAAATACATACCTAAAGAAAGAATATTCATTTCAATCGGTTTTATTCTGGTTTTGTAAAAATAATTCCGAATCAGTATTTCATAGGGAATAGTCAAGATTAAGGCAGATAAATTTAAAACTACTGTATCAATTTCAGATTGTTGAATAAATAAAATAAATTTTTAACACTAATATGACCAGTGTGTAGTGGTTACTAGAATTGGATCATAAATTTTGAACTTATTAAAATTAACATTCCTTACTCACGTATTTTTGTCATTTAACACAATGAAAATTTTTGTACAATTACCTTTATCATTCAGAATTGGACACTGGGAGCGATACCGTAACTATGTGAGTAAATATTTAAAACCATATCTTCGTGATCATATGAAGATCAATAAAAGGATTATGAAGATTATTTCCTTTACTTACAATCTACGTATCATCTGCCTCTTACATTAATGAATAATCGAAAAAATTCTACAAAGTTTTGCAAAAAATGGTTTAAATTACCCATATTATCATAATCAATGTTACTATTATTGTTATTAATTGCTTTATTTATTGCTAAATATTTGGTACAAAATGGGATCCTTACCACAGAGTATTTCAACACAATAATGACAACATCGTTTGTCCAACAGATATTATGGACTGCACTACTTAGTGTTAAATTGATTAGCGATTTAAAGCATTTAAATTTAACAATATTTTCTCCCATTCTTACTAGTACTTATCCGGAAATGTTGGTTTCGAAAATTCACGGGAAGAAATTCAATTTGATAATCATGAATTCTTTGCTCTTGACCAATTGGTACTGACCTTAAAAGGCTATATTCAGAACTCATCACTGAGTAACCAACAGAAGTCTTACTGGTGACTTTATTTTCTCCTTACACTGATTTCCTACAGCAAATACTTCATCGAAAACTAATGACTTTATCTCCTTTATCGTTCAGTGTCTCTAACTATGGGTGACTTTCGTCTCGCGGAACCCAACCAGGTAGCCTACATCTGCCAACATGACTCAGTCCACTTGTCAGTGACTTCATGTATTTCTGCCATGTTTTGGTCTGGCTGCCCATAATCTTCTTCCAACCTATTCCTACACCACGAAACGTAGCTCGTCGCAGCAGTCGGTGGTTAGGATTGCGTAACACATGTCCCAACCACCTCAACTGATGAAGTTTCAACACTTCATTAATTGATCTGCCATCCTTACCAATTACTCGCTTCCTAACGGCAGCATTGCTTACTCGGTTGTCCCACGATACACGAGCAATGCTTCTAAGGCATCTCTGATCGAATACTAGTAACCTACGAATATCTTCTATTATTACTTGCCATGCTTCGCGTCCTTATGGGAGAACGGTGCTAACTAACCGAAGTGTCACGTCGTGTACACTCGATCTTTGGCTAGCTAACCCGTAACATCACACAAGATCAAAGATAACCTGAAAGCACTGACCAATTGCACGTTTATTCAAGGATTCGCTCACACTTACAACTTTGCCAATCAGTTCTGTCTCATAATTTAAGTAACTATGACAATTTTCCTGTTTCCTATTTACAGTCAAGAGAGAGGTTTTGTTATGAAGCCCCCATGAAGGGATTATATGAGTTGGATATCAGTTATGTGGTATGATCTCAAAGTAAGTTAGGTTCCTACAATATTCCCATTCAGCTCCAGTGGACCCGTTATCTATGCCAGTGATTTCAGTTGAATAGTGTAAGAAAGCATTATAGAAACGTGTAGCGATTCACAGCCTGTGTGACTCCATTGCAGACAGACATGGGACAATCGGTCTACTTCTACTCTCCTAATAATTCTGTATCCTTCAAAACAGTGCCGGCCTTCGACAAAGAAATACTGTCTTTTCAATTCTGTAGTAAAACGTTAGATGTCTCTTTGTGTCTCTATACTTTTATTATCCTTCTATCTGTTGAAGTTGTTCATCGTCAATTATGAGGCACATTATTAATATTACTCATAGTTTTGCGTTCTCCAATTTTTCGCTCCCTGTCTGCGTAAAACAGATTTCCTAGACAATCTCATATTTCATTGCACGCTAACATAATTAGTTCCAAAAAGTAAATTACGTTAGTTTCAAAACATTGCTCTACTGAGTCGAATGAAGACAACATAGGACATTACCTCATAACGGATAGATAAAAGGAAAGCAGCACGTGAAATTGAGTTTCTTTCTATGACTGTGACTCTATTTCACTCAATCTAATAATTTACAATAATGTTCAGTAAGTTGAAACCGTCAACACCTATGAGATCATCGAAAATTGAATTATCAACGTTGTCAAAACATCTTGTGATCTGATTTTTTACAAAGATGGAAAGGCTAGTGAACCAGACTACTTCTCTCGGACATTTAACGAATATTTCCTGGATAAGATAAGTTAAGCCGGGCATCCACATGTTCAGTGCACTACGCAAACCCAGTGCCAGCTGACGGCTTAGGGAACATCCGTATTACTCCTAAATTAGTACTAAGAATACTAAAATACTTACGCCCGGGGAAGTCACCAGGTTGTGACGAAATTCGCCCCATAGTCTTGAAATAATGAGCAGAAGACCTCTGATCACCGATATGTGACCTGTTCAGGCATTCACTGGAGTCACATCAGCTCCCAGCTAAATGAAAACAAGCTATTTCGCTCCAATCTTTAAAGGGGGAGATAGGAAGGACCCAGCCTGTTACGGACCAGTCGCATTACTACCAATACTATCAAAGATAATGGAAGGGCTGGTGAAGGAAGAGATGAGGGAGTAAATGGATCAAATGAAAATACTCCATGGAGCTCAACGTGGGTTTCAGAAAGGCTGGTCGTGTGCATCTAATCTCCTCTTATTATGGGACAGTCGAACATTCTTCTGGGACCAAAAAATACCACGTATTATTTCTAGACTTCGCAAAAGCCTTCGAAAAAGTGCCGCGCGCACATCTAATCGTAAAGGTTGCGGGAATGGGCTTCACTGACCAACTTATATCTTTGCTCAGAATCTACCTTAAGAATAGAAAGTTTCATACCAAGGTAAATAGAGTGCGGTCGAATTGGTGAGTCTCGAAGTCGTGAGTTTCAAAGGGGACGATCTTAGGTCCACTTCTCTTCCTGATATTTATTAACGACCTGTTAGTTACCATTAGCTCACCGGCATTCATTTACGTGGACGATGCGAAGTTCTAGTGGTCCAGTAGAGGTGAGGAGGATTCGGCTGAGCTTCTAAAGGACCTTACATCCACTGAGGAATGGACAGTGAAAAACGGTTTCAAACTAAACCAACCGAAGTGTCACGTCGTGTACATCCTACCCACATGATGTGAAAGATTTGCACTCTCGGTGGAAGTCCGCTCTCTAATATATCTTCATAGATCGATCTCGGTTTAATAACCACAGAAAGCCTTCTCACAAGCCAGAACTTTATAGGAAGCGCAGCTAAAGCTATTGCAACTCTTTACTTTATGAGAAAGCAACTTGGTGCTATCACCCCACAATTATTCTTATAATTTAAAACATACGCGCGCCCACACTTGATAAATACGTATGGATTATCGCCTCCCTCATGGAAAAGCTGTGCCTGATCTCGATACCTGCTAGTTGCTATAATAGCAATCTCCTCGAATCACTAACCTTATCTATTTCTTCTATTATCTCTGTTTCCTCTCCCTCGCTTACACTTCAGTCCTCTCTCACAATCTTCTCTACCAATTAATAAACTAAATAATCTATTTCTTCACTTAGTTCTGAAATCCTCTTCTCACTAGCATTGTATTGTTCTCCATATTATTCTCCACGCTGCAAATTACTGATCTCCGATCTAGTAATGTGATAGCTGCTGGTATCCATAAACCCTACTGCCTTGAAGTAAACGTTTTCATTCAATCAGCGGACATATAAACTCACAACCAACTGGCTAAGACCCTCATTCATTGGAAACGACCAGATACTTTGAACCGTCCCGAGAGAACAAGAATCGAGCTCGTGAAAAAGATATTGGATATTGGAATATCGTCTTCTAATTTTACATATTGGTCATTGTAAATTTTGCTACTCTGTTTGGTTTCCAGGTGTGACCTTGGAAGTTTTGTTAAAAGTAATGGTGGTAGAGGAGTTTTACTTCTTGTTACAAGAAAGACGGAAAACTTTGACAGATATTCTGAATTCTAAATTAGCCAATGCACAAGATCCAGAAAATACACAGGTAAAACATACAATCTTAGTCTAGACACCAAATTGATAGAACTCATGTAATGAATCGTACATTACTCATAAGAATGCCTTAGAAGTGGATGCTGAAATGGAAATGCAAATAAATTCGATAGCAACAAGTCGATATGAGAGGTTAGCTTCTGTTTATTGGTAACGACGTTTCGTGATTATATAGGTTGATAAATGATATTGAACTTCAAGCCAAAGGACTAAAGTTACCCGAAATAGATGATAAAGAGACTAGAATAGGTATGTAGTATTTTACTTACTAGTTTGATTTGATCATATCTCTAGCTGTTATTTCCCATATGCCTCTACCCCAGTTGTTAATGACCTACACAATTGTACGATTAACTAACAAGCAGCTCTAGTGACTTGGTGTACATTAGGTTAGCTCGACCTGTCTTGTTTTAGTAGCTCATACCCCGTGCTTAAATTTTAAAGCTTCGCCTTCAGGTATTTAATGTGGTTGCTGAGCAGAATAGCTTTCTTTTGTCCATATTCTGTCTTTCAAGAATTGTTGCTGTAACATCAGTTCAATAATTGAATTAGCATACATTAGGTACAGATGTATTTTTTCGGACCTCGAATTCTGACAATGCTTTGAAGACATGGTCAGAAACCTGCATTCAACTTATTTCTACTTTCTTAAACTATGTTCCATAAGCATGTAGTATTACAGAGCAGACTGCTGTTCAGTATAGTCATTTAATGCTCTTGCATTCCAAAGTTGATACAAATTGGTGCATTTTCCTTATCGTTGAGATGATATTGAGGCGAGAAATGAACTTATAAATATCCATTAACGGATTAATGTTGTATGGCATCTTATATGGCTGTTCCCCATGTTTTTTAAGTGTAGTTATTTGGATGCTCAAATATAAGAGGAAACACTTTAACTTCCAAACTAACTGAATAGCGTATTTCCATTTCCCAAAACATTAAACAATCCTAACATCCTTTCAAGTGATACATATTTATTTATGCTCCACACAAATAAGTCAGTTTTTATAGGCTAGTATTCTGTCCGGGTCGCTAAACGGAAGCAGGCGGTTTTTGGGGGGGACTGCTCTCCGGGCCTTTGACCCACAAGGCTGTTATGAAATCTTAGGAGCGAGGATAAACGGTCTCTTCGCACCCTCGGTTTTAACAGTGCATTTGGTAGGAATCTTTCTAGTACCTCTACAGATGCTCTGAAGACATACAAGTATATGGAACTTATTCACCCAATCCATTTATAAAACTGCCTTCCCTAATAATGGACTTTGCACGTCGGTACTTTAGTTCAACTTGCCATATCACACTAGCATAGAGAGGTCGAATTGTCAATTCAAACCCCAAAGTGGTAAAGGATGTAAAGTTATTGGCGGTAATGAAGAAGATTAGGGTTAGAAGATATGATTCTAGTGGCATAATCCAACGAGGTAAATTTCAAAAGAGTTAAAATACCATAAGGAATTGAGATTAGAATTTGTGAGTAGACAGAATTGGATGCATCTACGCCAATTGCGTTTCTGTGCTAATGTTGTATGGAAACTTGAACTGATGTACGTACGCATGAAATTCTACGTTGTAACTGACTGACTCATTGCATCTGCGCCATCACAAGAAATTTCAAGTAATGTATTTCAGAGTCTCTAACCATCGCGTACTGTCGTTTAGTGTTCTACGTCTGTTAAAATGGTTCAGTCCACTTGTCAATGACGTCATGTATTTGTGCCATGTTTTAGTTTGGATGCCCAGCAACTTTCCTCCGGACTGTCTCTTCGTCACAAAACACCACCCGTGGTCGGGCTTGCCTATCGTGATGACCCATCCGAGCTACATTGGCTAAAACATATGTTCCCGTAGATTCTGCCATGCCAGGCAGGTCGATTGGAGAACAATGGGACTAAAAGCAGCTACCCAAGGTCTGAGGGCGAAGTCGTACTGCTGGCTGTAGAGGGGTGTGACAGCAGTACGGTGTTTCCCTCGGACAACCAGCATCTGCAGCGATGCTGCCTTCTCACAAGGAAGGAAGGGTTAGAAAAGGTCGGCCCTAAAAATGTCACACCTCCCCTAACTCACAGATTTCCGTCTCCGGCGGTAAGGCCTTTTAAACAAGAGCGGAGCTAATACTCCGAAAAGCTCTCATAAAAAGGCCGTGCGTGACTGGCCTCAAGCAGTTGTCCCTTGGGCTCTGCGGTCACGCTCCCAGGTCTCTAAGACCAACTTTAATCTGCTTTCCTTTTCAGGTTCCTCAAAAAACACCGTTCCAAGGTGTGGTCAGTCGGGGAGTGATATCCGTTATAGCACACAAGACTACATTGGTCACAATCAAATCCTTCCTACACCCTCTAATATCTCTCTTATCTCCACTACTAACTCTTCTCACATTTCTTTTACCTCACTGCACCGCTAATGCAAACGATTGGAGTTCACGAAACATCATTTCCGGTCTCCTGAAACCCCGTTCTTAATTACAAGACACTGTAAGGAAGCCTCTTAGGGTCTTACCTAATGATAATAAAGCTAAGAAAATATTTCAGGAGCAACTAGAAAGAGAGTTAGGCAACCATGTAAGCGATTACCATCCGGAAGCAGGTTGGAACGATATAAAAAAGGCTGTGGAAACAGCAGTGATATCTGCTAGTAAGGTAAACCACATGGCTAGAATGAAGTCGTGGATATAAGTCCTAGTCTTTATGAAGTTGAGAAAGCTATCGGAAATTTAAAGCGAGGAAGAGCAGCAGATCCTGATAGGCTAACTCCTGAGATTTTTTTGGATGGTGGTCTAGTTTTAGCACGTAGATTAACTGAGATCTTATGTAGAATGTGGGAACTGGACACAATCCCGTCTGACTGGTTTCAATCCTTGATTATCCCAATTTATAAGAAAGGACAAAAGTGTTCTTGTGACAATCACAGGGGAATAAGTCTTACTAATGTAGTTTCTAAATTGTTAGCCTCGATTATACTTAGACTCAGACTAGAGAAAACCAGGCTGGTTTCAGACCTGGACGTGATACGATAGTAACTGAACGACATGGCTCAAAATCGTTTGCACTGGCGCAGGTGCATCCACTCGTTGTGTTCTCTGGAATTGTAATCCTCAGAACTCCTCATCATCTCTATATTTCTTTTTCTAAAGTTATCTCACTGAATTATACTTGTTGAATAATATCTTCGATCCTTAATATTCTCCTTTACCGCTTATCCTCCTACTTTGTAATTGACTGACTGACTGAGCGCTTGTATTTTTCCTTGAAGTATTTGAAAAGCTAATCGTCTCCCTAAAGTTTTCGTACAACATGTTTATCTTTCTTTGGTTTATCTGGAATGAATCAACTGTGGTAAGTGATTGTATTAACTGCAGAAACCCAGTTAAGAAATCACTGTTTGCGTAAATTAACTTATGAGCCTTAATCAACTATGAAGTTAACTTCACATGGCCCAAAATCGTTTGCAATAGCATACGTGCATCCATTCTTTGTGTTCATTCAACTCCTGATTCTCTGGATTCTTCATCACCTTTATCTTCCTCTACTTAAGTTTATTTCACTAGGTTATACTTCTTGAATAATATCTTCGAACCGTAATCTCTCTAATTACTGTTAATACTTTTACTACCTCTATAATACGGTATTTGAATTGACAATTATATGTCTGTGCTAATGTGTTATGGCAACTTAAACTGATGTACTTACGTACGAAGTTCTACGTTGTATGTCTGTCTGTCTGTCCTATGAAGTTAACTAAAAACATGTATCCACTATTCTTGCGTATCGTTCTTAGTCACAATTTTACATCCTGGTAAATTCTTGTTAATAGTCAGATCGTCTTATCCCACGGCACAATTTACAAAACAACTGACCAAGTGGTTAGAGCGTTTGACTTTCAGCCATTTGGTCTCAGGCTCAAACCCCGCTTCATCTACTTGGATTCAAGCAGCCAATTAAAGTGTGCCTCATGTCCAAATACTTGGTAAATAAATTTATTCTTTCTTCGAGAAAATTATTGAGTGTAGTTATATTTGATCATATAGGAATAAGAGCAAAGGCAATTTAAACAGCATAGTCTGTCACGTTTTCTGGTCTTAAATTTGCTTCTTTGGACATCTAACCAGTAGTGGTGAACATCATCAAATAATGTAACACGGGCTTGCAAATTCAGCAAAACTACCTATTAATTTTTTAAAATACGATTTTATTTAACCCAAAACCTGAGCTTATCGGTTTCTAAGTAAATTTATCATCTTTGTTCATAGACAACTCCATTTTTTTCATGATTAGATATTAACAAACTGATTAGATTCCGTTTAAAAAATCAAAGCACCATTACAACTAATGATTCCAACTTGGAAGAAAATCGTGAAAAACTACGTCGTTTGTTGGAGACTGCTAAATCACAGAAACATTCTAATAATGCTCTAACGAGAAAGTTGAAAGGATCTATATCACGTAAAATCCGTCCGGCTACATCGCAAAGTTTCACCAAGCGCATAAATCGAGTTCCAGGCGTCAATGGTAGATCAGAAAAGATTTCTGCTGATCAATGGCCACCGTAAGTTTATTCGTATCATCCTAGTCGCTACGTCTAAGTAGTAACTGGATATCCTTTAGTTTTATTTCACTTTTAAACATGCTGTTTGATCGTCTGTTGTAAAATTTGTCATCTATTCGAATTTCGTAGCATTCTTCAGGTTGGTATAGTTAATTATGAATTTGCTTATCATTAAAATTATTTGCAAACAGCGCAAATGTTTTCCAAACAACTACATTTTGAGCTAGCGAGATTTGGTTAAAATCGTGCTTCATTCATCAATAACTAAAGGCCTGAGAGAATATAATTATCTGTTTTTCTACATAGTCATAAAAAGTGGATCAATGACTTAAATATACATGTCCACTCTTTCTATCCACATATAGGTCGGAAAATGGCTTTTTCTGTTTACTTAGAGGATTTCTTACACACGGGGGTGGACGCAGGAAATTAACTACAGCTCAAATTTGTGAATATGTTCGGGAATGGCAAGTTTGCAATCAGAACAGGTTAAGAAAAGTTGGCAAAATTTGCGGCTGGATTAATCGGGTAAATCCTATAAATAATGTTTATTTTTGAGATATATCTGGAAAAATCTGACTCAATTTTCCTTATAAAATTCCTGCAGTCGCTTGTTTATAGTTGCTATATCAGAACTCTAGGTACCTGACTTATATGAAATCTATAAGAAAGTCATTTCGAAATTAGCATAAGAGCTAGCAAATCTAGGGACAAATTGTTTGGTCTTAGAGCCACAATTATTATTTTTAAGATGAAAGTTTATATATAAGTCAATTATTTTATAGTATGTACTATTATGTTAAGCCTACGTGGCTAGTTTTGGCATCTTGAACCGTTATTTAGACGTATTTTGACCTTGTTAATTATTAACTTATATTTTTAGTTGGTTTCATTTGAGTAAATGTGTCGATTACTGACCGGGTCCATGTCTTTAGCTATTCTGTCTGACTGTAAATAGTTATCGAATGACGTTTGTCCCACTAGCCTTCTTCGCTTCGCTCCACTATTAAACCTCGCATTTTAATGTTTTTCTCCATAAACGAGTTCATGAAATAAGTTAGTCTCATTTAATTCTTATTTGGCTTCTCACTACAGCCGTCGCTCAAATGGAGTTAGCCTAGGTGTCATACATTAAAGTAAATAGATTTATTGTTGTAGTACATTTAATCGTTTTCTCAAATCGGGTTCGTCGCGGACCACTAAAATTTCGTAGCTTTTTGTGCGAGTTATCTAATAATCACATAGATATTCCCTAGTCAGTATTTCATTTTTAACAACTTTTGGAATTCTGTATATCACGGCTCATAAGGGGGATTCTACCTTTTCCTGTCACTCTGTGTCACATCTATATGTATATTACCTACGCCATGTAAAATGTAGTTATTGACATTCACTTTTGTATTATTACACTTATATGGGTTAGGATGTTTAAGTACCTTCATTGTAATGGATAAAAACACATCATTGGTAACAAGTAGACGATACTTTTTCTGTCCAGTCCTTAGGTTAGGTTGACGGATCACTCCAATTCCACGAATATCATTTTACAGACCAGTAGCCATTTCTATATACATTTAGTTTAATTTTGTTTAGATGTAATATGATTTTCATTCCAGGTAGAAGATTGGTCCTCTGTAACTCCACATGCATTAGATTTTCTTACTGCAGAAAACCCACCTGACAGTTCTCACCGACTTGTTTGCCCAAGACCATTTGTTGATCTAAAACCACGCATTCATCAGTGGTGTTGGCTTCTATATCCCTCATCAGGAATAAACCCTAAAGTCGACCAAGAATGGATCCAAAAGTTTGAAATAGAAACCAGAGAGTTGACGAACTTATTTTTTGATTGGCTTCGGGCTCCTCGAGGTCTTGGTGGATTGACAGATGCAGTTTTATCTATATCAGACCCTTCGCTTTCAAGTGGGAAGAGTAAAGTCAAGCTAAACAAGAATACTAATTCTTCAACCAGAGAAAAACAGTATTCTGAAGGCTCTGATGGTGACGGTGATGTAGAAGACTCCGAAATTGATGAAGGTGAAAGATGTTTGCGAATCGATGATTGTCAAGTTGAGTCAGATGATGATGGTGATCAAAAAAGTAAAGACACCCAAAAGATAAGAAAAAAAGTTATATCAAAACACTCTCACCAGTCAGTATCCCACGAAGATAATCAACTTTATTCTGATGATGATATTCCTCCACCACTTTAGTAAGCTTAACTTCATATAGCTTTTATTTACTAATATTATCATTATTGGGATGTAAATTGTTGGTTATGACCATACCTGCATTTTTTACCTACGTATTCATTCACAGGCTTAGGACGTATTTGTCGAGGTTGTTTCATTGCTCAACAAATTCATGACCAGGGATGATTTTGATCAACATTCAAATAATTCTCTGGTTAATGAATGATACGCATTATTATTGGATTCTTACACTCGTAGGAGATTATATGTCGAACCCATATGGCTTGTTCTAACTTTTGGACAAGCACGTTATTCTGTTCTTCTACAGTCATTCGCGTATAACTTTAGCTATTTTTACCTGATTGCATGTGCGTATTGTTTTATTCGCTTATTTCTGTCTGACTATAGATAGTCATGTCGCATCAAATGGAGTTGTCACTCGCCTTTTACGCTTCTCGTTCTTATGCCCGTCTGCAAACGCATGCGTATCGAATAAATCCATTCAGATAAAACTGTGTTGGTCTTCTCTTTACGCCGCCGCGAAAACAGGGTTAGCGTAAATGTAATATACAAGAAATAAATTATTTTTATTATGTATTCTAAAAAAATAAATCTTCCATGTGTCATAATGGCCTTTTGGATTCAAGATATTTCTGTTTCCAGCAGCATAAAAATAAAAACCAGTTAAGGCAGTTAAATATTAGCGACTTATTTTTTGTGAATCAGTCAAAATATTTAACTGCTTGTTAAAGTGTTGTCGAACAGGAACACAATGTTCCTATGAATCGTTCACACATACAACTGTAGCATAAGGATTATGCAGCCGGGATTCTTTTGTTTAGTGTATTTTCGAGAAAGAATTTTATATTATCTACTATCTATTATGCGTCAGCCACGTGATATTGTAAACTAGCTTTTCTTTCATTCCAGTCCAACTAGATGGAGACTCCGACCATTTTCAAAGGAAGAGAAATATGATTTTCAACTACAAGTAAGTTATTTTGCATTTTAATGCATTTGAAGATAGGCAAACTAATGATAAGACAAATTCATGTTTACTTTTTGCGTAAAATCAACCCATTAATTTATTCGTCTACAATATCTGAAATTACTCCTATAAGTTTACTTGGATAACTATAGACTATACTGGGAAGATTGAATTCCTTGAGTTCCATGGTGGTTTCAACCTGCAACTTGGTAGTTAAAATGTGATTATTCTAACCACTAACCCACCTATTTACATTGATGATACTTATGTTTAAGACGTACTGTTGAATACCTTCAGCTATTCGAATTCATGAGCGATGCTGCATCTAATTTGGTTTTACCTAACTAAACAAAGTCATAAATTCAAATGTTTATCTTAAAAGAATAGAACACTCCGTGAATAGTTTTTCATTGTCACACCTTGTGGTAGGCATATGCTGTTTGACAAGCGATTTTCCGACCATTTAAACGATACTACATCTTTGAATTCAAATTCGGTTACCGGTTGAATATTAATCAAGAAGCTGTTATAACTTTTCGGTCAGCGGAATTACTAATTTGTTATTGAATCCTTTTTCCGTGCACTATTGTGTTGCAAATCTCATCATCAGTGTAAGTATACGAATTCGCTTGATTTAAGACCATCCTGATTATCTATTTTATCCCCAAAATCATCGGGACGTGATCTATATCTTCTTAAAAAGATGTGTATGCTAGATTATGATTTCATAATCAGTTATCCTCTAGGGCTATGCCTACCACTATGCTTTATATTTATAACTCGCTTGAAATCACGAACCTGATTCAGTTTTACCTCTACTATTTTACTGCATTTTAATACACCATCGCAATAAAATAACAAGTTGAGAATTCCGTACACATTACTTGGGGTTTCTGGAGATTTCTAAAAATATTACACGGCTTTGCAGATGTGTTTTGGGACTAAACAAGTTATGGATAGCGCTAGCTGATAATTTGGCTACAATTCTTTCGCTTATTGCAAACTGATATGCTTGAGCTATTACGAATTCACCTTACTTGGTAAACGGACCGAAGATCAATGATCCAGCGACACGATAGGCTACCCTAATCACATCGTCCCAGGCCCCACTAACTAGGGGACAAAGTCTTGATAAGACGTCGAGAATGTATTCCACAGGCAACCAGAAAGCACAAGGTTGACAAACACGCAACTCAAGCTTATTTATACAATGACAAGATGCCCTTGGTGAGAGTGTACCAAGCTAATTCATCAACCAATGACATTCAAGGAATTCCCAATTGGGAAATGCAAGCTGAAGGCCAAAATAAGCGTCTCTGGTGATAAAACATAAAAATTCAAAATTCCAAAACGAAACTACAAAATTAGGACCTTTCCCAAGTGAGTTCTGTGGCTCTAACGTCCCCATTACAAACATAAGGCTGCACATGTATTTCTTCTTGTCTACATTTCTGTGTAACCTTTTTAAAATTCTAGTTTTGTACTAATTTTGTGCATATTTTTATTCTTCGTAGGAAGCTGAACGCTTTTCACATCCATGGTCTCCATTTGTTTATCACATACAAGACTACTGCGCTGTAGTTGGACCGTTACGTTCCGCTCCAAGTGCTTTAAATCATGATTTAATATCATATAATTCTGGCCGTAATTGGTCTAGTCACTCAAAAGCTAGAGACCATCCTTTGCTGAAACTTGACCGTCCTATGTTTGTTAGTTTGGCTGAAATTGTTCGAGACGCTGTGGCCTGTTTACCTAACGGGGAAGGTACCCGTGCAGATATCACCATCCTTGTACAGAATAGTGGTTTTTTATTACCAAATATCAATCCACGCCAGGTAATTTTTTTTACTATTGTTGTATTTGTAATGTACGTATATTACTGTGGACGAATTATGTTGCCATTCTACTTACTTGAAATTATCTACTTGATCTATATTGTTCAATCATTAAAAAAACTTAATGAATCATTTTTAACGTAGCAAAAATGTGCATCGATTTAGGTTGTCACACAGTACATGATGATAAGGCAAGGAAATTCATAAACCTATCGTAAATCATTCCAGATAATTTAAATAGATATATGCATCTGACCAAATAATTCTTAACCAATCATAATTAACCATTAGGTAGCAGAATATAAACTGGATTTTGCGTAACCGTCATCTCGCCACATCAAGCAGGACCAGAATGATAGTTACTCAAACACTTGGTTTTCCCAATTAATCCTCTGTTTTCTTGTAATAACAAATAAAAAAATGGAATAGAATGGAAAGTAACTGACGCGTATTCAGTTTCGCTTTCTTTGATCAGAAAGAAGCTATAGTTATTCCTAAACTTTTTGGATTTTTGTTCATGATCCTTTTATTTCTGTTTATTACCTACAAGTATCCAACACTCACTGTCTTCTCATTTAACGTGTTCGCCTATATTATGATACTCAGTTCATTTTAGCTTCACCTTGACTAAAAGCTCTAGTTGAGTTATTTACATATTTTTCTTAATAGTTACAACAGTGTGTCAGTTCTGCATTGGATCGATTGCAAGGCGAAACTTCTGATCCGTCAGTCTACTTCAATAATAATCGTCGTATGTGGATTTATCGTCATCGAAATAGAACTGTTGAAAAGTTCGGTAAATAGTTGAATTTGAATTGTAACCTAAATTATTATAACTACTTGTCTTCATGTTTCTTCACGACTCCAGAAAGTTTCCTAGCGTGTTACAAAAGCAAGCTTTTAAAAACTGCATGATGCAACAAAGTATTATGGATTAATTAATTTTTCAGTTCTTGAAAGTCGTTGCTAACAGATGAAGTTCACAGCATTTTATCCTACAACACTATGCGTCGAAAATTTGGCTTAGAACTACGTAATTTTAGATATTTGCTTGATTTTGTTTAGATGTAGATTTTTTTCTGGTGTACACTTGATAATTGAGTTTTATCACACCGCTATTATAAGTGTCACAAGAAAAATGTCAGCAGTTTTCTATGAAATTAATACTTATTTCCTCACATTATTGTGGATTTATTTGCGTCACATGTGTTTTTATATCTTAAACCAGTTGATTTGCTTCAAATAGAATAAATTCAATGTAGATTTGGAATTTTTTTTCTATAAAATGCCGAAACATCTATACCTTCATCGTCTATAGCTAACTTGTCCTATTTTTAAATGGATTAATCATTAGTGCAGAAGTTCATCTTTCCTTTTTCTCTTTAATCCATCTGTATACAATCAAATATGATAATGTATCAAATGACTTACAATGGAATCATATAGATGAGTTCAGTGATTTCCTATTCAAATTTTCTTTTAATTCACTCCTCATTGTTTTTGTTTTTTTCATTTTTCATTAGCTGAACTACACGAAACAAGATGTGCAGTAAATGAAACAAAAAAAATTATTCAACGCGGTGGCGGTACACCTGTTATGAATGCTAACAAAATAATTAAACCTACTAATCAATTTATGCCTGACAAATATTCAGAATATTCTAACAAACAAAATAACTTACGGCATAATTCTTCAAAATATTCTGGACGTTATCATAATCATCATCACAGTGGGAGACATATTCAATCGGGTTACATCAGTCGAGATTATGGTTATATGGAATTGAGCGGTGTCTATTCATTAAATGATGATGATCATATACCTGATATAGAAGAATTAGAAGCGGCTGATGAAATGAACATGATTGAATATAGTTGCACATCTGTTGAATATCCAATGAATTCTAACCATGTCAAAGGTCATGTTAGTGGTGCTGCTGTTGATAACACGGAATATGTTGAGGATGATGAAGATGATGATGAACTGGATGAAGTGAGTTATGAGAATGAAATTTTAAATGCTTGGGACGATGACAATTCTAGTGAACAACAGCTTGTCAATCATCCTACCTCTGAACAACAGAAACAAGTGAATCAAAAATTCAAAAAAAGACCTAGTAGATACTTGGATCCATTTCAGTCAAGAAGTCCAACATCATTTATTTTGCCATCAAATAATTATTCTCGATCAACTGTCGGTAATTTTAAACAATCACAATTAAAGGATTCCAATTACTCACTTAATTCAAAGCAATATCATCAAAATTACACAACTGCTACCGCAGATGATGATGCTGAGGTCGGAAACTTTATAATTGATAATGAAGAAATGAATGAAGAGTATTTTTAAACTTGATAAACGATTATCTAATTCGAAACTTGTAAATATTGTGTCTTTCAAAAATTGCATTTAGATAAAATTATTTGTTTCTTTGTTTTAATTGTTAGTAGATTTTATTTGTTTCAACATTTTTTGTATTTCAACAGGAAGAAACAACTTCGAAATTCCTAGTTCATTAGTAGCATGCAGTTATACATAACTTTTGCATTACTAAAATGTCAATCAACATTTGCTTAGGCAGTTATTTCATGTGTACAACTTTAATGTACTTATGAATAGATCAGTAGTGTGGATGATTTTTACTCTAAACAATATGTATTTATGCATGCTAGATTAGTTGCATTACTTAAATGTTTAATTGTATATTAATCAGTGAACTGCTTTTAACTTTCATATTCAAAGGTCGATAATATCATTCAGTCTTGAAGTACTAGTTTTTTAGTAAACTTCTGATAACTTATTCTTTAACATGGCACATCAACTTTGATTATTACCGTGTTCCTCAAAACTTTTCGACTGCGTCACAAAACATCAACATCGCAACATATTGTCTGTATAGAAATTATATACCAGGATCAGAACTAGTAGAAGCTAAAATATTGTCTCAATAACAGCGGGTTTTCATGGAAATTTATTCTAGAAATATTGGCGAAGTTAAGATTAAAAAGGCTAGTAAACAAGAAGATTATTTTTATTCACTCTGAATTTAAAGGTGATGACCTCACAGGATCAGTCAATCGAAGATTAAAATCTACATTAGCGAGAATGTATTTTTCAGCCAAACTCGTCATACTTTACCGCAGTCAAGGGCTAGTAAATTTCTCTTTGATATTATTGCCAAGCTCGTACATAAATTCACTTGTAACTACCAAAGTAATCACACTTGTTGAATCAAAAGTAGAGTTTACGTTATATTCGAGTAACAAATTACTTATAATTGATGAGACTGCATGAACTGATATAATTATATTTATGCAGATAATTGAATTGCACATACGATGACAGCTGAAGTATTTTATAGTAAACTCTATAAAATATGGAATAACTAGCTTTAAGATTGAACTACATGTTACAAAAGTCACTCAGTCCAGAAATTACTTATATTTTAATCTTCTCAATCGTACCTTCCGAAAATACACCCAACGATCTAATTCATTATCAACTGACTACCGTCCAATCATTAATCTTATATAAGATTTCTGAACAGTATCTGGATTGGTAATTATTTATCTGATTATCACAAGGTTCCTCTACTTTCAGATAGATACACTTAATATTGTTGTACTTAACATCTCATTTCTTCACAGGAAGAAGATGATTTTCAGGTCATTCGCTGGGAGTCTTCAACGTAAACTGGCATTCATTGAAGAACCAGGGAGTGCAGAACATTCGTTTCATCTTTGCTCTGAATTCTTCGGAAGTCTACTCTCATGGAAGCTTCAGTCCTGACAAAAACCCATTATTGTTGTATTATTAACCGTTCACCAGTATCACATAACTAATCAGAATTATGTCTTGCCATCAGAGTATTTAGGCATATGTAATGCTCGCACAATGTGGGAGACTCGGAGAACCATTCACGTTTCTAAGCAAAAAATAGATACAACCTGTTGGTGCTTGGAACAAGTGAGATCTATTGGACTCAAGTTGTGCGAAAAAAAGATTCGGAGCGCTGCTGTTGTACTCTGGCCATGAAGAAGGAAATGCCTCAAATACACACGGAGTTGCACTGATACTATCCGAAGAAGCACGAACAACACTTATAGGGGATTATAATGGACGTTATTTAGTGTTATACACCGAACAATGATGATCAGTGTTATGAAAAGCTGAGATCAACTGTAGAGAAATGACTAGCAAAGTATTCGACTATTCTGATAGATCTGAATGCTAAAGTTGAGATCGACAACACTGGATATGAAGATATCGTGGGACGACCTGAACTTAGAGGGAAGAACGAAAACAGTGAAAGATTCGTCAATCCATGTGCGCTTAAAATATGGTTAAGTGGCAGCAGGTTCCCACACAAAGCTACATGAGTTTCACCGGATCACTCTACACAGACGAATCGATCACTTCTGTATTAATGAAAAGTTCAAAAGGACCATTGAGGACGTGAGGACTAAGAAAGGAGCCCATATAGCTTTAGATCACTACTTGATGGTGGCAAAGATGAAAATGAAACTAAAGAAACACTAGACAATTAGTAGAACAGCATCACAAAAGTTTAATACGGCCTCTTTTCAGGATACTGGCAAACTATACGAATTCAAGATCGTTCTCAGCAACAGGTTCCAAGCCGTTCACGATCTGCTCAATGAAGAGGAAACTACCTTAGAGAACAATTGTAGATGGATAGAACACATTTTGCGGGAAGCACCCAAATGCGCCAGTACTCATGCCATAACTTGGAATCCTCAAAGTCAAAGAAAAAAGAGGCATTTCAAAGAACACATTGTCACAGTTTAAAATCGTTGTTCGACACAGTAAAATCTTAAGGTCGTTTCAAAGTAGCCCTAGCTTAAGGAAAGGTAATGTTAACCCTGATCTTAGAAAGTTAATTTTTTAGATATGAAGTCAACCAGTCCATTAACGGGGTCTTGATTCCTAACACTGAGTTAATTGATAAGACATATACAACTGACTCCAAAAGCTTTCCAGAAGTCAGACTATGTGACATCGACCTTTCCTTTGAGACCGAGGATGGTTATCCATATATCCATTGCAGTCAGTAAGTTGATCATAGCCCTTCCTGATGAGTTAGGAAGTTTATCGATGATCAGTCATTGCGTAAATCGTCATTTATCAAAGACTCCACAACATTTTACGTCGATGTTCACACAATGCATTTTCGTTGAAAAATTCTGACAATACTCATTCATTCAATGCTTTGATTTACATTATAATGCAATATTCACATCCAGGATAATTGAACATTTTCAGAAATAGCAAACAATAGTCAGTCAGTTACGACGTAGAACTTCACACGCTTGTACATCAGTTCAGGTTGCCATACTACATTATCACAGAGACGCAACTGTCAGTTCGATTCCCAGTGTTAGAGGCAGCAGAAGTATTAGCGTTAATGGAGAAGATTAAGGTTCAAAGATATTATTCATTGAAATAAATTTAGAGACAGATAGAGGTGTTAAGGAATTCTGAATATTAGGATTTGACAGAACACTAAGAGAGGAGGCACCTGCGCCATTGCAAACGATTTTAAGCCATGTCATTCAAGCCCTCTAACCATCGGTTACGATTGTCTCGTGGACCCCAACCATCTAGTCCAGACCCACTTATATGGTTCAGTCCAGTTGCCAGCGTCTTCACTGACTTGTGACATGTTTCGCTTTGGCCGCCCCTAGCTTCCAACCTACTCTTTTGCCACAAAGTATCGCTCGTCAAATCATTCGGTGGTTGGACATACGTAACATGCCCCAGCCACCTCAACTGATGAAGATTCACTTCTTCGTCTGTGGATTTGCCGTCCCCACCTAGTGCTCGTTTCTTAACCATAGCATTGCTTACTCAGTTGTCCTACGATACACGAGCAATATTTGGAAGACATCTATAATCGAATAGTAATATCCTCAGCTGTTACCGACCATGTTTAGCATCCAAAAAGTAGGATAGAGCGAGCTGCTGCGCAGTGCACTCGTGCTTTCCTTAGCACAGGGATATCGTGCCTACGCCATAAGTGACACAAGTTGGCAAAATCCAATGCAGCGAACAACAGCTGCATGATATTTGTGTTATTTTTGGTGGAAAGGTATAAAACAAGCGTGCACTGTCAAAAACGGAAGAAAATCAGTCCGCAACTACGATATAAAGATTTCGAAAATTCCTGATAATACATTATATGAGCGTGAGAATGCCTAGTCCTACTTTTTTACCATGCCACTTTGTTTTCGCTCACTGTCAAAATGACGGTGGAAAAAATCTCAAAGCTTGGCTTTTTATTAAGGTATTCCAAATAACACAAGCGTCTATACAATAAAGATCATCCTAGTGTCTTTGCATGGTGTCGTATAGGAAATAACAGAAAAAACTGAAAATATTCTTAAATACCAGTTTCTTAAAAACTCTCGTAATATATATTAACGATTAGTCTTATTTGTCACTTATAATTCTAGCCCAAACCTATTTTATTCATAAATTGCTTAATAAATATCCCTAATCAATTACTGCAAATAACATCATGCAATGTAAAATTCTTGGTAAATGTTGATTAAACGCAGTCTGATAAATTGCTTCATATGTTCATTATGTGAATCAGGCGGTTTATGGTAATAACTTCTTTAGATAAATATATAATCCTGTATCCAAAATGTATATGTTTATGACAGATTGCCATAAGTGAATTTAGGGCATATATTAAACGTTCAAATAAACAAATTTTATTTGCAATACCCGATGAGACATTTAAAGTGCTTACAGTCTAATAAACTCAGGATTATTATCCATAATTATGTTTATCCGTTTGTAAGGTTGATTAGCTATTTCGTGTTAAGATAAACATTTATAAATGTTTGTGATAGGTTGTTTGGAGTGAATTTGCGCATGTATTGATCATTCAGAATAAATACATTTCATTTGCTATCACATATAACATGGATTTCAGTTGACACAAAATTCAAAGTGTTAAAACCTCTACATTTATTAAAATCTGTATGTATTTTCACGCATGTGTGCTTATAGGTCTATACAAGTAAATGATTTATTAACAATTTACTAACTGAGTGTTACTCAGAAGCATCTAGTATCGAAATATTTTTCATTCATACAAAAATGATATTAACTGTTTTCGGGATTCTAATAAACTTCTGGATTTGGATTTTATACCACATACAATCATCGGAAGCATCATTTCTGGTAAGGATTATAGAATTATTTTTTTATCTTATCGAATGAAACTAGATTTCATTGTTGCCTATTAATATAAATAGTTTAGTTAGAGTACAGTAAAAATAATAACCGGGAAGGTTTTATTTTTGAAGGAATAAAAATATCAGTACTATCAGCAGAGACGGATCTTGAATAGCAGTGGAATCCAGAATACGCGTTTCGTCCTAATAGAGACTCGTTAGTTGGATTCACCTGAATACAATTTGAGGTTAGTTCTGGGACTCGGACCTGGTGCTGCTCGCTATCAACACCTTGAGGCTGTCCATTTAGTTACTCAGTCAAAATAGTCTTAACTATGAATGCGAAGATTTAAACTACCAATACAAATGAAGTAAATGTCAACATTACATATTTTATGATTTAATTGTAACAGAAATTGAATATGTCTGAATAGAAATCTATGTTGCGACACCTTCAACTATGTTCGTATTTTAACTTGTTAATAAACTCTGTAAGATGGTACAATTAAAACACTGAGTAAAAATGTAATACTCATTTAGACTTGAAACGATTTTATACTTTCAGATATGAATCAGTATTTGTCAACACTGTGAAATTTAGCAGAGCAAAGTACAGTCTTCCTTTTATACATATTTACTATTTCCCACAAAACTTTTTTCAATAGTTAGTTAAAATCATAGTCAGTAATTTCGATAATCAGTAACACGACACAATCATTCTGTTTAATTGTTTGTAATATTTGTTCGTAATATACTGGTACATCTCAAAATGACTAATGCACTTTTCACTACGCCTCACGCCTCAAAGAATTTACCAAGCAGAGTATGAAGCTGGAAAATTTAACCTAGATACTTCGTATGCAGTGAATGTGAACAGAATACTGAGAAGTACAGTAGTCAATGATGGCTGACAAGTTTTGGAATACATAACCGGTAAATTGTGATTAGCAAATAGTTAAATCAAAACAACAAATATATATTGGTTTACACAATGCTTAATATTATAAAAAAGGTCAATTTTGTTTAGTTAACTCTTTGATGTCGAATGATAATGAAGCTAGTAATTGTATAAATGTCTAGACCAAACTTTTAAAACATTAAATATTTTCATGGCATTTTCACTATTTTATTTTTAATAAATTAATCTAATCATAATAGAACAATCCCAAGATATTACTTTTATATTTAGATTTATGACTATGGTCGCTTATCAAAAATTGGGATTTTCATACAATAACAACAATAGTTTTCCTCAGAAACGGATTTCTGCTAGAGCTCTATTAAAAATAATGAATAACATGATGATTACTGGGCTTATTATGATCATTAGCACTTGTTATTCAGATCTAACAAATTTAATGATCACAACTTTAATCGTAGTAGACTTTATCATTAAATTAATCACTTAGATTGAAGAATAAATAAGTACATAACCCAAATTCATTTTCAACAGTTTGATATAAATTATCGGCTTCTCGGATTTCAGTTAGTAGGTAGGAGGATTTACAGAGTATTACTATTGTTCCCATATGTTTTAATGTTTATCTATAAGTTAAAACTAACAATACTTGTTCATTTTATATTGATTATACTTTAACTAGTTTATGTACAGCACAAAAATTTAATATTCTTCTCATTCAGTTGAAGTTTCGTATATCCAAATAAAACTAAAAAAAGGTGAAAGGACTGTATTTCCGATAAAGTAGTTTTTCATTTAATGAAAGCAAGGGAAAAATCAAGATCCTCCTCTAGAACAAAACGTGCGCCAAACAAATCACACTTGACGTAGAAGCTTTGAAGGATATAGAAAACTTTACATACTTGGACAGCATCATTGATAAGCAAGATGAATCTGACGCAGATCTGAAGAGGCGGGTCGGCAAATAAGACCAGCATTTCTACAACTGAAGAATGTATGGAACTCGAAATGACTATCAACCAACACCAAAGTCACACTTTTCAATATAAATGTCAAGACAGTTATACTGTACGGGGCGGAAACTTGGAGAAGCACAAAAGCAATCATCTGGAAAATACAAGTGTTTATTAACAGTTGTCGACGAAATGCACTGGAAATCCGTCGGCAAGATGCTATTAGCAACAACCTACTGTGGGAGAGAACAAATCAGATTCCATCAAAGGAAGGAGCTGTGGAAATGGGTAGGACATACACTGAGGTAAGCATCCAGCTGTGTCACAAGGCAAGTCCTCATTTGGAATCCTCAAGGCCAAAGAACACATTACGCTGAGAATTGAAAACAGACATGAAAAAAAAAACAGCAATTGAGTAGGCTGGAAAGGAAGGCTCAGGACAGAGTTACATTCATTGATATGCTATCAACTGCAGTGGTTAGCGGTTTGACATTCGTTTTAAACCTGAGTATATGGTCACTGATATTTTACCGATGTGTTAGGAAAATATTATAATCATTTACAAACAACCTACTTTAGAGGATGATTATTATTTGCTGATTGATATCGTAAGTTACTTCCGAAACAGGTAGTATTCTACACTTTTAATGATTGTAATATCACGGATCTATGATTATTTCATGATTCAATAACTAATGTCTTATCTGAATATTAGACAATAATTATAGAATACAATCTTATAAGTAATACATACTATTGTTTCCTGAATGATGGATCAAAACGGAGTGCGTTTTATAGTGCCCATGGTAGACAACTTTTAACATGAACAACAGTGGTTTTGTTGTAAATTAAAATTCAAGTCCCCAATCACCTTTGTGTAGTGACAAATAAAATTTTTTTTATCGGCATGTACACCTGGATCTGTGTGAAATGAATGGGAAATGGATTACCTTTAAAAAAAATGGACGGCTGGCATATGTATTGAAACTTTAGCATATTTTATTAATATGTTCTTGTTTATTTAAACATCTATCTGAAAATTACATATGTTCACCTCTTATTGAAAATTGATTTGTTTCTAGCTAATATTGGTTTGCATGAGGAAGTAAGTATGTAACTTAAATCAATAACAGACAACTTTTCAATAGTTACATTTTTATAAATTTTAATTTAATGATGAAACACACTAATTAAACTAATCGGTTCAATAATGTGGTTCATGTTAACTTTATTGTTCAAAGCTTTGTTTTTTTCATTTCTATCTAAAACGGAAACAAAAGCATTAATCTATCAGTGAAATAATCTTGAATGAATAGTTATTTTTGACAATTTGATTTGCAATTTCATTAATATTACCATAACTATAAGAAAAATAAGCAACATTCAATCACTATCATTTAATCGTCGTTACACATTAAGTTAATATTCTTGATTTGTAATTTATCTCAGCTTTATCATAGCTCAAAATCTTCTTCAATAGTTGAAACAAATTCACCATCACCTCCTATTCTACCGGAACGTTTTTACACAGAATTTTCAATTTATTATACACCGAGAGATGATGATCAAATGCCTTTACCACCATGGCCACAAATCATTCCACCACAATTACCATTTGCTGTTGGACGTGGTATGACATGGTATGCTAATGATTTAAATATTACAATTGAATATTATGAAGATTATTGTGTACCAATATTTGAACCAGCCAGTTATTTCCCGTGTATTCTGTTTAATTTCAACCATACCGCTTACTTCATTGCACCAATTAATTCAGGTTATGGACCATGTTGTGTATATCGTAAATCATTTGAGATACCTAAAAGAAATTTCATGAAACAATTTGCTAAATATTATAATGGTACAACTGAACGATTGGGATTAGGTCTGCTGAATCAAACTATCCAATGGTGGATTATACCAGCTGATGATAAAAATCAATATCATGTAAAACGAAAAAATAGATCTTCATCAACTAGTCATTCAGTTTTCGGTGGTTATGGATGGACTGTTGAAGCATCAAAAAAGTATGTTTGAAATTTAACACTTTATAAGTAGTTTTTCTGTTGTGCATATGATATTTTAATTATATTCACGTAATAGAGGTCAACTCAGAACCAAATCGACTATGTCTGTATCAATAAAAAGTTCAGAAGGACCATGGAGGATGTGAGAACCAAGAGAGGAGCCGATGTAGCCTCAGATCAGCAAATGCTGGTGGCCAAAATGAAACTGATTGATACTCAGGAAGCAATGGACAACGGGGCAGACAACATCACATAACTTTAATACGGCCTTTCTTTGGGACACCGTAAAATCCAACGAATTCAAGATAGCCCTCAACAATAGGTTTGATGCTTTACACGACCTACTCAATGGAAAGGAAACTACCATGAAGAACAATTAGAAAGGGATTAAGGAGGCAATCACTTCATCATGTTAGGAGGTTCTGGGCCACAATAGGTACCATTTCAAGGAATGGATCTCTGTTGGTACCCTTGAAAAAATCCGGGAAAGGGTGAATAAGAAACCAAGAATCAATATCAGACGAACATGAGCAGAGATAGTCAAGTTAGAAGCTGAATATACAGAAGCGAACAAGCAAGTGAAGACAAGCATCAGAACCAACAAACGAAAATATGTGGAAGATCTAGCAATGACGGCGGAACAGGCTTCAAGAGAAGAAAATATGAGACCCCCACTAGAAACCTGGAAGCACTGCATGACCGTTTCATCTTAGGACATGACTCATCGGGAGCCCCATCGATTCATAATCTCGATAACTCTCAATAAACTCTACAACCCTATAACTATAATGCAGTTATGATTTCTGTAGTTTCTGTGGTTTATTAAAAAAATCCATATAATTTGATTTAATAATTCACTAATAAATATCAGATGACACCCAACGTATGAAACTGATTCTCAACTGTTATTTAGCATTTAAACACCAGATAAAACATCATATGAAGATAACATACATAAGTCACTGGATTTAATTAGAAAACCTTTGGAAATCATTAAACTAACAGTTGATCACTAGAACTTTGGGAGTTCTGATTAAAATTAGTCACAATGGAGTACATGACGAATGTTGACATGGAAACGTCTTAGAAACTCTTCAAATAGTGCATGAACTGAAGTTGACAGTTTGAACGGGTGAATGTCAACGCAGTGATTTGGAATTTATCAGCTCACTGTGATGTCTGAATGTCCTAGGTTTGTTCACTGATGAGGTAGTGTGAACGCTAACTGTAGAACTAACTATATAATGGGAATAAACGAGTATCTCCTACTTCGTAGCTATTAGAATTTATTTAGCTACATTCAAAACTTGAGCTGAACCTCAACAGCATTCGTAAATGCTGAACGTGAACTAAACAGTTAAAAAACTGTAAATTGATCTATTTTCGGTAAAACTCAATCAACCATAAACATTTGTGAAGGACTTAAATACGAAAAACGAATTGACTCTAAATTTTGAAAACACTAATTATCCAAGAATGATAATCAGGAAATTAACGGACATATAAATCAAATAATCATACACCTTAGCTACAAATTCTCCCCACCATCTCATTATAAGTTATTTCAAATATGAATAGAAAAACACCTTTTCTGTATAGAACCAGTTCGCAATATGGTAAAGATGCATAGAATATCTTTTTTTTGCTTAAAAGTTTATTCTAATTTAGAGTAGCATTATTTCACAAATAAGATTTTACCGTTACAATGAAGACTATGTTATCATCATGCCATATTATCATACAGATCATAATTTGATTTTTTTTTTACGGAGCAGTATATGAGCATAGTTCACAATTGCATTTAACGGACAAGCTATCATCCATCAGACTACTACTAATTAAACGAAATAACAATATTGTTTAGTAAACTTTTTATGTGACATTTGTTAATTCGAAGATTAAATTAGATGCACGACAGTTAGAAATATAAAACTGTTCTTACGGGTTTAACATCTCAAACAGAGTGTAACTCCATTCCCATTTTATACTGTTTCACTTCTGTTAACAATTAGTCAACGTGTTGAAGCCATTTAATATTTCCTGATTTCAGTAATTTTTCATACGCTTTAAGAGCATTACCACGTTATCATATCTACCAACACCATAAACACCTGTAACTAAGCATGGACATCAGTTAGCACTTCGGCCTTGATTATTATAATAACCCTATACTTCTATCAACACTTTGGATGGATAAGAAATATAACTTTTTAATTCCACCAAAATATTCGTTTCTTTGATTGATTTAGCCGTATACCAGTTTGCTTTTGGTTCGAGGGAAATGTTGGCTGGACTCAACAACTTTTCTTCAATTTCGTTACTGATGGACCAAGAATATACGATCTAGAAGGATTTCAACTACCAGAAATATGTAAAACTGATATAACTTGTATTTTTAGACCGTAAAATGCTTTTTTAAACATAATTTATTGAATGACAATTATACTTCAGAACAATAAAATCATTCTTAATGTTTCAGCTAATTTTTCGCGTATTGTGATCACCTTTATCTGAATTTCATATAACCATGTCTCTGTTAACTTATTTATCATATATGCGCAACGAAAACTGAAAGTCGCTTTTTCTTAACAGTTAAACCCATCTTGATTCGTTAGTATAACTAATTTTAAATATTTTTATCTGCATATCTTTTTTCCCAATGCAGTAATCATTACATCCTGCATGGTGTATTATTGTACTAAACAATTGTGTCATAAATAAATGTGGATTCTAGAAAACAGGAATTCTTAATGATTAAAAATCCTTACAAATTACGTCTGCTTTCAAGTTTACGTTATTCAGATGAATTTAAAAATAACGGAAACAACAAAGTTTGAAATTTCCGAGATTTACTTATTAGAAAACGTCGAATTGGTTTTAAAGATTCACTGATACACAATAACAGTATAATTACTTTCATCTAAAGGTGGGAAGGTCAGCTCAACGTTATGTCGATTATTGTTTAACCTATTCAGGAGCGTATATAAAAAATTTTCGACCTATCGCTCCTTACAAGACACTAAAACGTACGACCGGAAACATTGTGGTGACTTCAAATATGCATCGAGAATAATAAATATTAATCTGATTTCGATTTCTGAACTGTTAACTCCCAGCTGCCGACAAAGCGGACAATCTACATTTATTATCAAGCCTGACACATGAAGCGTCATTGTAGCGGTGTAGCTACATTTGTAAATTTGAAAGTGTCGATCTAATTTCGCATGTTTCAAGTTTTCAAAAAACTATATCGAAAAATGAATGTCCGGCACTTAGACCGGATCGGTGGACATGGAGGATCTATATGATAGAAGTCAGTGGTCCCCTCCATAACTATAAAAAGGAAAGATGACTTATGGACCTACTCTTGGTCAACGGGTACCTTTGGACCGCATATCCTGAGGTTGCTTCTGTCTCATTGACTAGATCTCCACGCAGTGGCTCCCTAGGAGAACCGCCTACTTCCCTTCAGGGGATACTGGCAGTATACCAGCCAACACACATTTAATGATTCATTTAGCGCTTATATATTTTGATGCCTCTTTGCAACAATGTTTGTATATAATATTGATGTAAATGAAGTACTAGAAATTCTGCTGTTTTCAGCATCGTAATGTAGTGATCAGTTTCAGATAGTTCGGAAGGTATGCTCTGTGTGCGTTTCTAGACTATATTTCTGGCTTTGACTTTATTCCAAGACCACTACTATCAAACACGTTTTTCAGCGTTAACTGCTGGATAACCAAGTGGTTATGTCCCTACCCCTCCTGAAATGATCAGTTTACTTTTCGTGGAGAAGTGACTTGCATTTTTAGCAACTCAAGGTGTGCCATAAGGAGCTGTTCCTCCCGGACTTTCTGTTTGATTTGCCATCTTCTACAAAACAATTTTGTTGACTATGCCGATGATCTTACTTTATGTAGGCCAATTTCTACCTCTTTATATCCCCTTTGGAATAGTGAGTTATCGCTACTCACTGAACGATGATCTGTAATTAACAGCTTCACACTTAGTCCTAAATACCAGACCATTAATCTTAGTCTGGGACATGAACCCCAATTAAAGACCCTTTTAGGATCCCATAACATTTTAGCTATTGGAGATTCTATGATGAAAACTGTCAGAGGTCATTTATCTTGGAGTAGACTTTTTCTTATGATCTTAGTTTTTTCATGTTTTAATGATATCGGAAAAAATTTCCTTTTGCACGATTATACAAAGACCCCACATGCTTTTGGCATTTACCTTGGCGATTTGTAAATTCTTGTTTATTAACTATTCTTCTTCGCCATTCGTCACTATTCTTCCCTAAGCTTTTGAGAAAATATTTTCTTGGGTTAAGGAGAGCGCTGAATATAGTTATTAGGGTATCTGGTAAATCTTTTGACGTCCTTATGGATATGGTTTTGGATAGACAAAAGTTCTGGAAAGTGATATCTTATTACCAGATACTAAGCATCTATACCATTCACATCTTTCTTGTGGTAAAACAAGACGTCAATGCACTAGAATCCATAAACGCAAGCAGCAATATGAAAGTTTTACCATACCTTATCTAACAAATATACTATGTAACAAACAAGCTGTAAGAGTTGACTTAAACAAGGCTTGTATTCTTGAATATGCTACTCATCAAAAGTTGTGTAGATTTTTATCCTATTAAAAATCATCTCATGTAAATCCCATATAAACTGTTCACTCACATTGTGCAAATGTATGCAGAGAATTTCACATCATACTAAATATATAATATTGGATAAAGCTGATTATGAATCGTAATACATAAGACGATTCGTTTGATATAGTAGAGAATCTGGATCTGTAAACCAATGAGGCTTAAAAAAGGAAATACGTAGATCGACATCTACCGACAAGGTCCTTTAACGTGTTTATTTCCAGAGTTAAATGTGTGATCGACGTTTGTATCTGCTTTTTTCAATATGACTAAGTGACGGGGGAAATTTTAAGTTGAAAGAAAATATACACGGTTGATTCTGTTTGAATGTAAGTCTTTAAGTCATTAACTAAAATTTGGAGTTACAAGATGAACAGTGCATTCTCAAACATAACAAACCATATCCAATGGCAGGTGTTAAACAAACAGTATGTGTAACAATTCCGAATCATTAAAATAACAGCCTAATAAATAAACTATTTTGTCAGGATATTCATCCGATATCCTAAGATAATTGTTTGTACATCTACTTCTGTTGGTCTAATCCAAGTGGCCAATATTATGGTCGTCCTAGCTATCAATGTCACGTGCTTCAATGTTGTTTCCTATTGGTCGTCTTAACTGTCAATGTCACAGACTTCAATGTTGTTTCCGATTCGACCTGACTGTATAGATACGGGTTATCTGTAACGTTTTATGACACGGACGCGTATCCTTAGTCCGGGATCCTTAGCCTCTTCTGGACTCGGACCTCGTACTTTCTGGACATTTGTAGAATACAGGTTCTACTTCGTATCAAGTCTTCTTCTTTTACTGGGGTGTGTGACAATCGGATTAGAGTAGCCTGTCGTGTCGCCGGATCCTCGCTCTCGTTTACTGACTAAAGTAAACTCGTAATAGTTCAAGCATATCAAATGACGTGTTTACGTGTATGGGTAACTACAGAAATGCAACAAATGAAAAGAATCGAGTAAACATTTACTACAAACGAAATCAACAACAATATTAATGCTTATATTACATATTGTTATTTCTCACTCCAGATTTGGAGATAAGTTTAAAAATAACATTCAATTTTAAGATATGCACAGCAAAAAATAAAAGTAAACATATATTAAGACATATTAAGCAAGAATAATCATGAATACAAGTGTCTTATTATCTAAGAAAAAGTGAATTTACTTTAAGGGACAAAACAAGATTTTGCAGTGAAAGGAGTAACATTCTCGATTCACAGTCATGGGTAAATGTCTTCTTCATCAATCTGAAAAGATGTTTCTTATAAGTTATAGTACGAAATATTATTGATTAAGAAAGCTTGTAACGTTAGTGTATAACATTATTCGTCAATAACCTTGCTGCCAAGATCAGTTTCTGAAGATTTAGTCGACGATTGAGTTAGTGGTGACCATGGTGGTTGTAAATATTTACCAGCCAAAGGAGTACAATGTGAACCAGGCGATTCAACAAAATATCGAGAAACCTGTAAAGAAAAGAGATATCTTTTCGTGAGAATAATAAACAAAACAAAGAGATCGACTACATCCTCATAAACGTCATACATGTTCTGAAAAGTAACTTTGTAAATGATTTCCATTTGAATGAATGATAATTTGGTCATCTTTTTAAAAATACATCTTGACAAATTTAAACGAGGATTTACACCTTTTATACCTGAATCACTTATATCAATAACTGCTTATTCTAAACATTTAGTTATCATTATATTCCATTAATTGATCAATTTTCCAAATGAATTCATTCAAAGCACATTTCTTTACAAAATTCATTTTTGTTTCATCAACTTTATTTGCCAGAACACAGTGTATGACAGTTGATTATAACTATAACGAATCAGATACTTAACCAAGAGAGTTTTAAGTTTCCGTTACATAAAATACTTAACTGATGCTTAAATAAATTTAACCATAACGATGAATTCCAAGAATACTAAAACAATCTAACGATCGAATTAATTCTAAATACTCAACTCTAACATAACATGTGAGATATATAAATAAATTATACAAGAGAAAGAATTTGGAAGACTGGCAATAAATCATTTGATACAATAATTAAAATATCGGCTCCAAAGCATAAATAGATTTTAGATTAATTTATGCTTAGTGAGTCGTTGACTCACTTTTTCACTTCCAGATAGCCTTACGCTGCACCTCACACTCCCAACACACAAGGCAGCTTCCGGCTAAGTGCAAACCAACCAAAGACTGAAGTTGAATTTGGTGGTGGAGATGGGATACAGTTCGCTCACATTCAGACAGACGTGCATTACACAGCAACTATCCCTGTCCATGTAACTTTAAACACAGAGATTATTCCACTTGATGTAACTCAAAAGCCTCACAAACTATTCCTAGCTCTAGTAAACACAGGTACCAAGAACGCTGAGGACAAAGCTTTTCCATCAAAGTGAGCTATGAAACCTACTCAAAACATATCTACCAACTCATAAATTCGATCATCAGTTTTTCTTTGTGTCATGCTCATGTTATTCCTGATTGTTATCGATTGGTTCTTCCCTTGAATGTAGGTGCGTTCTATGTCGACTCACCTCACATACTGCTCCTCACAGTCTTCCAGCACACAAAGTATCTTCCGACTTAACGCGAACCAACCAAAGGCTGAAATTACAGAGGTTTACCGAAAAGCCTTCGTGTAAGTATTTCTTTGATAATGTCATGTGGAAATTCCGGCATATTTTACTTTGCAGACACCTTGGGTAAAATTGATAAAGTTTACACGAAAATGAAAGTTTACGCGAACGTAAAGATTTTACAAGTTAACGTGGAAAGAAGCATAACTTGAGACACTCATCACAAAACTTAAGTCGAGTTACATCCCTCGATATTCTGCAGCCTATTGCCACCAAGCGTTTCAGTGAGTTGACTGACTGTGCAGAGTGACGCTTTTTGAGAAATTTGATACATATAGTTCCTTTATTATTTTGAAGGTAGCAAAAACAAAGAATGGTGAAGAATAATATGAATTCATTTTATTCCGCTAGGTTTTCATCAGCTGCTTACAACTTATAAATACGAAGGTGATTAGAGAAGTATGTGTATCGTGATGTTGCAAAATTTTCAATAAAGTTTTGTTTTACTCTCTTTACAATAATAAAGAGAACGATGTGCATTGATTTATATTTGCAATAAACTATCAAATACATCATAACTATAACACTTACTATATAAAAAAGCATATATCTCTGAACATCAGATTTACTAATTTCTTTACCAAGTTTTGATGGATATAAAGGCCTTTTAGATGGTGGGTTTGATTCTGTTTGCTTCTCAAATGCTTCAGACTTTAAAAAATCTACAACTAGTTGGCCATATTCTTCTGGATCATAATCAAGTCCCTCAAATGTGTTTTCTGATGAAAAATAAGTAAATAAATAGACAAGACTAGCAAAGAAGTATAATAATGTTTATAACAATACGTTAAATATCGGATGGAAGATTTTTTGATCTTCTATGTAACATTCATTCCACTATAAGGTGAAGATAGAGAGAAAAAAAAGACCTCAACGCTCTTCATATGTTTAACCATAACCGCAAACGATAGAGCCTTTATTAAAGTTGACAAACTCTTTTAGAACTGTTTTTAATAACAGATATTGTAAGAATGATCTGTGATCAACAAAGTCAAATGAAATCCTAATTTTGAAGAGTTTTCCTCACAGAGATTTAGTAAACAATGGAGTATTTAGAACACTGACAGATTTCTACACTGAGGTCTGAGAAATTGTTGTAATTAATTGTAGGACGCGACGAGAGAAATATTTGTCACCTGTATTATTTTTCTACTTAACTTTGAATCTTAGGTTATAGTCGTTTTTCATTTTCCACTATTCAATCATGTTTAATCCTTTTAAGTTAGAATTTCAATTGCGATTGAAATGAAATCCTTTTTTTAAATATTCGTTATCGTTGTATCGATTTAACGTGTAACAATCTGGATCAACAAATAATCATAGAAGGTTCTACGTTGATGATTAATTCTTGTCTAAACTCTTTGAAAGGTGCACTTTAACATGGGGTAACGAAGAATATTCGCAGTTCAAGGTGGAGAATGTTGTATTCTCCAACACCTCAGTATGGCTCGAGTGATGAAAACACGTGGAAAAATGCACTCTTCATAGACAGACAGATACAACGCAGAAATCCATACGTAAGTATATCAGTTCAGGTTGCCAGTACCACATCAGCACAGTGACGCAACTGTCAGTTCAAATCCAAGAATGATAGCGATAGTAGAAGTATTAGCAGTAATGGTGAAGATTAGAGAACGAAGATGGGATTCGATAAGTATAATTCAGTGAGATAAGGTTAGAAAGACAAACGTAGAGGTGCTGACGGATCCAGAAGATTAGGATTTGAGATAGCTCAAAGAGAGGGTGCACTTGCGCCATTGTAAACGATTCTGAGCCATGTCGTTCAACGTCTCTAACCATTAGTGACTTTCGTCTCGCGGACCCCAACCAGGTAGTCTACATCTACCAACATGACTCAGTCCACTAGTCAGTGACTTAATGGATTTCTGCCATGTTTTGGTTTGGCCGCCCCTAGCTTTCTTACAACCTACTCCTACACCACAAAACATAGCTCGTCGAGGCAGTCGGTGGTTAGCCATACGTAACACATGTCCCAACCACCTCAACTGATAAAGTTTCAATACATCATCTATTGATCTGCCATCCTAACCTAGTACTCGTTTCCTAACGACAGCATTGTTTACTCGGTTGTCCACGATATACGAGCAATGCTTCTTAAAAATCTATGATCGAATACTAGTAACCTACGAACATCTTCTACTCTTAACGGCAATGTTTCGCATCCATATAGGAGAACGGAGCGAACTGCTGCGCAGTACACTCGTCCTTTGGTTAGCGAATGGATATCACGCCTACGCCATAAGTCACGCAGGTTGGCAAAAGCCAATCGAGCCTTCTGTATCCAGGCTTATATTTCGCCAGTAACCAGGACGTCAGCACTGATGAGACTCCCCAGATAAGTGAAGTGATCAACACGCTCGACTACTTCACTCCCTATCACTAGTTCCGTTGAAGTTGAAAGCCAATCTTGAAGCAGCATTTTGCATTTCGACGGTGAGAACCGCATCAAGAACATGCTTGCATTGTTGCTTAGGGTGGTCAGAAGACTCTGCATTTTGTCAGCATCACCAAGTAGGACAATGTCATCGGCATATTCTAGATCAGTAAGCGACTTTCCTGGTAGAAGGTCAACCTCTGAAAAATCTGACGAGCTTAATTTTAACTCTAACAGGATGTCTACGACAAAGTTAAACACGAATGGAGAGAGTGGACAGCCCTGACGGAAACCACTTGATGTAGAGAATTCAGATGACAGTTCGCCATATGCTCTCACCCAACCAGTGGTGTTCGAGTAGAGAGCTTGTATAAGGTTAATGTACTTCTTTGGTACACCTTTCAATGACAGACACTGCCACAGAACCTCACGATCTACAGAGTAGAATGCCACCTTAAGGTCTAGGAAAACAACTATTGTAGGACGCCTAAATGTGTGTCTATGTTCCAGGACCTGTTGTAGTGTGAAAATGTGGTCTATACAGCAACGTTCAGGTCGAAAACCAGACTGGTTTTCTCGAGTCTGCTCTTCACGAGCTTTCGTTAAGCGTCGAAGTATTATTGAGGCCAGTATTTTAGATACTACATTAGTTAGACTTATTCCCCTGTGATTGTCACAAGAAGACTTTTGTCCTTTCTTGTAGATTGGGACAATCAAGGATTGAGACCAGTCGGATGGGATTACGTCCAGTTCCCAGATTCTACCTAAGATCTCAGTCAACCTAGCTGCTAAAACTGGACCACCACCCCTAAACATCTCAGGATTAAGCCTATCAGGACCTGCAGCTCGCCCTCGCTTCAGATTTTCTAACGCTTTCTCAACTTCATAAAGAGTCGGGGAACTTACGTCGATTTGCCATTCAGGATAACTGGAGATCGTGGGTAACCAAAGGGTGGCTCGAGGCCAGCTGAACTGATCCCTAAAGTGTTCTGCCCATCGGTCCAGTCTCCTTGATTGAGAATGGATAATAAGACCATCCTATTATTATCTTATTCTGCAACTGAAGCTCGAAGTAAAGGTGTACACGTTTATGTTAGTAAACTTTATCTTCTGCAAATAGATAGCTTATCATATCTAGTATTAACTTCTTCACTCATTACATCATAACAATGATGGAAAAAGATAATATCTGAATATCAGGACCGTTTGTAAGCTGAATTCTAACGTAAAGGAACTAAATAAAGACATTATATGTGATTTTCAAGCACAATAAATGAATTGAAACATCAGAACAAGAGGAACAGTGAAAAAGCATAGATAAGGTAGGTATAAAAATAAGAAATGGTGGAACAGGTATCCTTGGAAAGATAAAATTTAGTAAAAAATATTAACAGACGACCAATAGAATGCTTGTTCGGGTAAGTTAATAATCGGGAACGCAAGCACAGAATGGAAGACATACATATACGCATATAATATATTTCAGTGAAATTAAAATACAATAATAAGTGAAAATTGCTTACTTTGTTCTTCAGCACTAAGTGATAAATATGCATTGAGAATGGATTCATTTTCTACAGTCATTAAATATGGAAATCTGTAGCGAACAAAAAAAACCCAACTTATAGTTTCATGAAATTACCTTCACGTACAGTATTACTGTAAAATAACAATCAAAACATTGAAAATCAATTCAAAAAAGTACCAAATAATAATAAAAGATCGATAATACTTATCCATCACACCATTCACAAAAATCTCTTCCTGCTGTCATTTTTCAAAAAGTACCATTACAAATAATGAGAAAACAAGAACGTTCGTATGACAGAAAAATTTTACGAATAAATCTGTGAGCGAATTGTGCCCACTTTTGTATAATCAGTTCCCCTGACAAGATTTTGTACAGCCAAGACAACAAACATCGTTGGATAAATTGGATTCATTCATTTTTATGTGTTTTAAGGCTTACACACACACACACGGATTTGCATGAATGAACAATGTAATTTATTGTATGTAGCATGTACACAGTCACTTAATTCACTAGTGAAGAATAACTCTTATTACTTTTCATATTCCCACAAGATCAATTTACAGACAATAGGAATATGAAAGAGGGACTATGACGTATTTCAGTACAAGATAAATGGAAATTATAACGAATACGGTAGACAAAATGACAAAGTTGATAGTAATTTCTAAAAAACTAATTATTGAATTAGTCATAATAATGGTGTTTATAATGGTAATTGAACATGGTATGGGCAAATGTAATCACTTGAAGAGAGGTAAATAGAAAAAGGGTGAACATTCTATTGAATAATGTTGAAATAAGGAGACTGGTTAAAATTACCATAACCTAGACATAAAAATGTGACTGAAATGAACAATGGAAGTATCACTACATTTGAATAAGAGATGACGGATGTTTGTGTACGTAAAAAGTGAAACGAACAAAAAAGTCTATATTTTGAAAACGAGAAAATAGAAAGAAAGAAAAACGGTGAACCGATTACTATGGCAGTTTTAGATGAGCCACAAGTTCTTTGTTAAGTATTTCGAGATTATTTTAGATCATAATCATTCCATTCTTGCCAAGTACGAGCTACTGGACCTACTTAAAGGTAACTCACTAAGGTTTGCTAACTAGACAGGATTCATTTAGTAGTAATTCATTCAAAGTCAGTCACATGCTGACACGTGATTGACATCCATTTGGTGTGTTAAGACCTTTAGGACATAGCACGATTAACTTGAAGAACAATATTCTGATAAAACCTTTTTATATCCGACCGTACAAAAGCCGTTAAAATGCAAATATAGCAGTCTAAGGAATCGTACGATGTGTAACAGAATCATCGTCGTTTCTTGTTATTATTAAGTTCGAAACATCTGTAATAATTCTCTAATTACAACCCAGCTATTCCGAATGCTTAGTATTTTCGGACACTAATTCACTTGAGACGTTCTCTCAAATCAGAACACGGTTGAACAGGAAAAGAGATTATATTTCAACATATATTTATAGTTTTACATGACAAGATTCTAGAATGTTTCCCCAGTATCGACTAGCGCTGATTGGATACGAAAGAGCCAAACAGCGCACAACAACCCAAACGTGTATGTGACATGCTTTAAATCTAATCTATGTTCCGCTAACAGCGTCCAATATATCTTGTACTCTGCGCTAAAATTTGATTTTTAAATCCAGATGTAGCGAAATAATATAGCTCAGATTAATATGATCTATGTCAGTCAGTCATACGTACGTGCATAGGTTCAATTAGCCATATCACATTAGCACAGAGACGCGATTGTCAATTCAAATCCTATAGTGGTAGAGGCAGTGGAAGTAATAGCACCATCCTTGATAATCTCAGGAGTTAGCCTATTAGGACCCGCTGCTCTCCCTCTCTTCAGATTTGTCATAGCTTTCTCAACTTCATAAAGACTCGAGGGACTAACATCGATTTTCCATTCTGGATGAGTTGATCGTGGGCAACCGAAACATGGCTGAGGGGCAGCTGAACTGATCCCTAAAGTGTTCTGCCCACAGATCAAATCTCTTGGGTTGAGATTGAATAACAAGCCCATCCTATTCCGAATTAGTCTCACTTACAGTCGGATTCCTAATACCAGTTTCCTTGATAAGTCTGAATGGTTGTCTACTTGTAGCACCTCACATATATTTTGTATCTTTACTATTGTGGAGCTTGTATGCGCATGTATGCTTCGGCACTACT